GCCTGTAAATGTTGATCATGCCAGGTTTGGTGTGTCTCGATGAATTCGAGAATATACTTTTCATTATTTATTTGTTTAATTATAGTGGATGTCGTCTAACGAGCGTCCAGTTTCTTGTGCCGGAAAGTGAGGAGGCCCTCGGCACTTCGACGTTGGATTGGGTTCTTGCTTCTGCGAAGGAATGAAGCAGGAACAAGAGAAATCCTTACACCTTCCCACGAGGAGACGTCCAGGACGAGACTAGGGCACAACAGAAGCAGCAGTGGGTGGATCATCTGTGAGGATCTAGCCACCGCCAGCCACAGCGCAAAATAGGCTCGCACAGTTGGCAGCATTCGGTTTTGGATCGGCCTGTCACTTTGGCCAGCCACAGGACGCCTGCACCTAAAGAGGGACCATAGGTGGCTTTCGCTGCACCAAATATCCAGTGTAAACCCGAAGGAATAAGACCGGAAGGTATGTGGATGGGAGTCAGGTTTCATCAGCGGAGCCGGCACATACTTCTTCACAGGCAACAACAAGCATGTTGTGTTTGGGAATCAACTGCACACAAGGCGGTGGCTGGACCGTAGTCCGATCCACACCAAGTACATGGGACGGCTCCTCCAGCCTAACACGGCCACAAGGACCGTGCTAACCGTCCCTCTAGCAACGACCAACTGTCTCCTGAAGCCGGTGTGCACGCGGTAGTGAAAAGTAGACAGATAGACTATTTGTCAACCTGCACATCAAGCGCAGCCACACCGGGACATAAAGCAACAGCCAATCACTTGAAACGACAGGATGAAATAAAACAAGTCCCATCAGTTCTTTCGGTCTTCTCTCGGTTGTCCCTCACTTTCCCTTTTTTGAAGTCCGGAACTTCTTGGAGATCTGGGATTGGACTAAGGAACAGTTTTCGCCCAAGGCGGACGTACCAACCGACAAGGACTTACATGGAGCATGTTTGAACACCAAAAGGACCCAACTACAAGCACCAGAACCCTCGTCCAGTATGGAGAGCTGGACACATCTTCATCCTCCCATAAATTATACATCTGAAAAATCCAGACTGCAGAAAATTTGAACTTTGCTCAAATGGACACACAACAAGACGACCATTCGCGATGTTCCCCCTCAACCGGCCTCAACAATCATGACGGCCCTTATCAAACTACCTGTCCAACTAACACAGGAAAGTAGGAGCCATCTGACCTCGAATAACTGAATATGAAATCAGTCGGCAAGCGGCTTTGCTTGCCATACATTAATGATCAAAATGCTTTACGGCAATGTTGCATGACGTGGTGGGTTTTCGCCTGGCAAGCGTTCTCCCTATAAAAAGCCACAAATGTCTGTTTAACAACACTGCGACGTGGCGGATGTGACCCGCCACTGAATAAAGTCACTGCCCACAACTACATACTGGAAAGTCGACCAGACACATATTTCAACTTTTCCCGACACATGCAAGAATATGATACTCTCCGTCTACATGCACCGTTTCATTGCACTTATAATGCCTCGGCCGTTTCAAGTACACATGAATGAAACCGAAGTATCATCGTGATACACAACGGCTTTTAAACCTTGATCATGCTTGATTGGGTGAGTCTCTATAAGTTTGAGAATAAACTATTTATTTATTTATTTAATGCATACAGATACGGTAGCATAACCCTTCGCTAAATTAGCATGGGAAGTGGGTTGGTTAGCAACGCATCTGCGATAAGGGAAAATGCCCAAAAGTAATCTGAAAAGGCTAGAAACGCAACAAAACTACCGAAGATAAGCGCAATTAGTGTAGGTAACGTGGCCAGTTAATACAGGATTATTTATGTAGGCAGAACAAACCAAATAAAGTGGAAGGAAATTTCTCCAACTCAAAAGGACCTAGTTTAAATGACTGTTGGTTTAGCCCAACTGCGGTGAAGAAGCGTCATGATTGCAATATCTGCATCAGCATGGGGGTCGTACACATGCCTCGTTATCCATGTGTCTTCACGGTGCTTGAATTTACCACGTCCCACCCTCCACGATTTTTAGATTTCAGAACTATTGTCCCCTTAGGAGCAGCGGAATCTCTTGGCCCCACCATCTTTTCTTCAATGGAGGTCACTCCCTACTACTTGAGTGCCAACGGCTCGCCTGGCACGCGAACACCGAGGAACGGTTCCCCAAAACCATGTCTGCGCTTCTTCTTTGGACCAGGATCGTCCTCACAATGGCTTGTGGAGCGGTGGGTTATTAAATACTACGAAGCACACCAATTGGTCTACAGCTGACAACTGGTCATATCGGCCATGCTTCTGGAATAACCAGCTTTGGCAGTCCGACTGGGTCGCCCATACGGCCGACCGACGCTACACTACGGTCAACGCCCAAATGATAAAATATAAATAATAAAGAAGCCCGAGTGAGATTCCTTCGAAGATCACCGGAATAGATTTAAGCCACTGGGTATTGCACAACACGGATTACGGAAGGGGTTTTCGTGTCTGACGAATTGGTTGGTTGCTCGTGAAGTTTGGCCGAGGCGGTGGACAATGGCCACATATTGGAGGTGCTTTTCGTCGACTCCTCTAAGGCAGTTGCAATGACACCCCACTTGAGGCTACCACAAAATCTGAGCTCCTACTACGTAACTGACCGCGCCCTTCACTGGGTCTCTGCGTTCTTGCAGGGAAGAGAGCAGTATGTACGTGTGGGTCGCAGCTTATCCTTAAGGCTAGCGGTCCTTAGCGGTGTCCCACAGGACCCGGGCCTTGGACCGATGCTGTTCTCCATCTACGTAAACGATCTCCCTGGAGAGCTTGTGGTATCATTCCTATTGTGTTCTTATGACGTTTGGCTATGGCTTGTTGTAAATGTCCCTGGGCTTTCTGAGGCCATGCAGCATGCACTGGACAGACACCGGGACCGGTCTACTTTGTGGCTATTGCCCAATAACCAGGCTAAGTGTTCCGTCCTTCGTATAGGAGCAGCTTTCTCATCTTCGCGGTACATGATCGGTTGGGTCGAGCTCCCTTGCCTCCGACCAAGTAGACCCAGTCGTCGCCCATTACTCGTTTTTGCCTTCTGGTGACAACTGGAAGAATGCCGCAAGTAGGGGTTTCAGAAGGTTGTGGTTAGTATGCCGTTCTTTTGGGGTCTTACCTGCCAACATATTTGTGAAGTTATTCTCAGCATTCGTTCGGCTCCATCTAGAAAACTGCTTCCAGGCTTGCCCGCCCTACCTTGTTCGGGACAAAATGGAGCTCGAGTGGACTTTGAGAATAGTACCATATTGGTCGAGGGGGTACGGGAGAAATGATACGCCGAGCGTCTACCTAGCTTGGGTATGCATTCAAACACTACCGACGGCTTCGTTGAGAACTAATCCTTACTTATCGCATGTTACCAGGGAAGGTTTGACCGGACTTGAGCTGGTTATTTAGCCCGGCAAGTTTGCCTTGTCTTCGCGGTCATCGCAGGAAGTTACACAAGCTGCGTTCCGACCGGATTAGGGCGGAAACTCGGTTATCTCAAAGAGTTACTGAGCACTGGAACTCGCTCCTAGAAAATGTGTTAGTGAACCTACGGTTAAGGGTTTGGAGCGTCAGTTAGACGTCCTTGGGTGGCAACACGAAACCTTTCCATTCTGACCATATCCATCTTCCAACTTTGAGTTTATCTTCTGTCATCTCCCCACTCGTTAGAGTAATCCTTTATTTAAAGAGGTTACCTTTCTCTTTATCTTCCATTTTTCTTTCTGCATCTGCTTTACTTGACATGGCCTACACAGCCGGGACTGTTATTGCCTGGCACGTGGACTGTAATTGCTTGAACAGGGTGCGTTCGGGTGTTTCGGTTTAGATCCATCAAGACCTCCTAGCACCTTATCATTTCCTGGCTCAACGGTCCGCTCAAGAAGGAACACTCAAGGGATTTTCCTATCGTTCCAGTCCCATATGAATCAGAAAGCTGGGCACAACGAGCTCAACGTGCACACTTTCTGTCCCCTTGCTCAAATTGTTATTTCTACCCAACACTCCTCGTCTTAATTAATCCCCCACCCCGAAATCTCAACCCAAGGCTTCCTCCATTTAGTTTTCTAACGAACAATCCTTAGTAAACATGAATCATTCATGCTTTCAGTACTTTGAGACCTAGAGTAAGTGCATTTTATATATTCCGACCATGCATTTTAACTACTGGTGCTTTCCGAGCACTTGCTCCGTTGGTTAGCCACGTTGCAATGCTGCTGTCTGTTTCCACTTACCTGCCCTTTATCCATTACACCTTGTCAATACACACTGTGTCCAGACGACCTAACTGCTCTCCCTGCTTCCGTACTCAGCACAACCCTTACGTACCACCTCTTACGATAAGCACCCATGGTGTCCTGCGCTTCGCGCTTATTGCTTTGGTTCTACTTGGTTACAGCTTGGACTGTCGATAGATACCATGGTTCAACAGCACCGTTGTGTAAAAATACAATCTCACATACCCAGGAAGCCACCCACCCACAATTAAGACGATGGACATTTGGGCCCCACACGACTACCGAGTTGCAACCTACAACATATGGAAGCTACCGACAACAACAGGACCCTGCCGTAAGAATTCGCGGTAGAACCAGCGAAAAGCAAAGCTTACGCGTTTTGCATAAAGCCATGAAACCTATATCAGGTCGTTCCAGGCCAACAGCTCCACTTGGAATAACTGGTTGAACAGGGTGTGAGGCGATCACTTTTTTAGGCTTTTTAAATTCTCAAGCAGACCTATCAATTCCCGACCTCACGATACGCAAAAGAAGGCACATTCACGTAATTATCCTATCGTTTCGGTTCCAACTGAACTTGAACTCGAAATCCATTAATCGGCCGACGACACAATATGGGAAGGCAAAGTGAAGTAATATTTAACGGATAAAACTAGTCACACAATTATAGGTAATTAAAAGACATCAATGCTTTACACGGCTTGTTGCGACATACCGGTGCTGTCTTCATTTTGTTTAAACGACTGTGTTTACGACCGTGGTGGTGTTTCAATTTGTCTCATCGAACGCGCTTTCCGCATGTTCGCTTTTCTTCGGTATTTGTTAACCCTAAGAACTGGATTGGCCGTTAGCCTAGTGACCCCTTTATCTCGTGATCATGTAGATTGAAAAACGACTTATTAACCATTTTATTCCTTTCCGATAAAATGAGTGCTCAGCCGTTTGATATGAGGTTCGCAACGTACAGCCCGGTACGTATTACGCTGTATCCATTTCTTTATTTTCGGACTCACCCTTTGGCACGCTGACTACGCTTGGCTGGTCTCGAACCGTATTACTCACCATCGGATATCATATCCCCATGCTACGCCGAATCTCAAAAGTCGGTATGTTATTAAATTGTATGACATTGACTGAACCAGTCTCGTTTTACCGAGACAGTTTCATGGGAAGCTCTTTGTCTACCTAGTATTGAATGCGGTGTCGCTTAGCTATGCACGACTTAGCGGTAATACTACACGTTAGTGACCGACGGACTACCACTTATTGACCAATCTGGATGCTCTTGGCCACCCCAACTGGACGAATTCGAGCTTAGTTAGGTCACACAGAAACTAGTCCATCGTGGCATAGGCACATTTTTTGCTTAATGAACTGCAGATGGGCGAATCAATTGACTGGCGATGACACTGCTGGGGAAAAATACAATTCTTGAAAGGTTAGGACTCGCACGATTTATTGTTTTGGATTCTAAATATTAGCTGGGGAATCGATAGCACACTGACGTTACTCGGGGTTATGTGGAATTGCTAGACCTGTACCCCGACATAGAGAAAGCAAGAAAATGGAAATCGAATGGCCCTGTCCACACAGATGGACGGCCACCCGTCCCACTTAGGCGTGCTTTTGGTTATTCGCCGAGGAAAGAAGCCAATAATAAAATAAATGTCCCGATCTATCCAGATATGCTGTTAAATTAGCTTGTGCATCTTTAGCGTCAAATGCTTTGCTTTTTATCAACATCGTAATTTCATTCAGCGCGAGTGGTCAGGTACAACAGACGATAGAGGCTTTCGCCTAACGAGCGTCCGGTTTCTTGTGCCTTTAAGTGAAGCGGCTCCCAGCACTTTGACGTTGGATTGACTCTTCTTGCCTCTGCAAAGGAATGGAGAGATGAATGGTCACTCAAGGACATTTTCGGTTTAGCTTAGCGGCTACAGTATTATATAATTACCATTTAGGAGTCGATTTCGGCCTAATGTTGACGGTATTTGCAATCATTAAAATGCATTTGTGGTATATGACAAAGGTGCATTGGAAAAACATTTTTAGTGACTAAAAGTTGTCCAAAGTGTCCAATGGAGACGGCCGGTGGCACAAAAGTTGGTCACTCAGGGACTTCCAAAGGTCGCTCCAGCGGACACTTGATCACTCATGCAGACATGGTGGCTCCGATCATCCGGGGCCAAGAAGACGAGGCTAGGCCGTACTCCAGTGCTCTTATCTAACTGGGGTAAGGCAGCCAGGCGATCCCAAAAAGTGGGATCAGGCTCCTGATGTAGTGCAAACAATAATATGAAGGAATTGTACGGATTGCGAAAGCCAAAATACTGGCGGAGTTTACTTGTCCTCTACCTAAAAGCTAAAACCGAAGTACACTAAGAAAACTAGGCGGCTGCGAGTGACTGAAATTGAGCTTGTGTAAAAGCCCATGCTCTGCGTCGGTCTCCCACTTTACAGCTCGTTCAGTACCGGTCATTAAAACTAGTCGACAGTATTTTTAAACGGTCCATTCAGCTTTATTTTGATGCTCCGATTATCTTCACTCCTGCTGAGCGCGGTTTTCGGTGGATGCACTTATCAACTCTACTGGTTGTCCGCGAGAAATGGGCAAAATTAATGGGTGCCGGAAACTCCTTGATGTGTTTTCGTTGATTTGAACAAAGCATTTGCTGGAGTTCAACATGTACGGCTTTTAATTAAGATATGAGAGATGGGCATCACCGGTGTATTCTCCCCTGGACTACTGATTCCCCAGATGGTCGTTTTATGGCGGTGGTTATTGACGTCCCCTCTGGGCCTGTTCTCATGACTAGTGGGTTTCCGCAGAGATCTGTCCTCTGTTCTTAACTTTCCAAATCTTCAATGATCTTCTTCATGTGCTTCAGCCTGTCTTTGATCTACCCCGAGGATCTCAGACTGTGGTCGGAGGTATTTAGGCTTAAAGACAAAATGCAATTGGTACCCGATTAGGTGTGCGAATTGTCGTCTAGATGGTAATTGCTAACTAACCTCTATAAATGCTGTCCTCCAGGCCGGTGCTCCAGTACCTTTCGGTGTCACCACATTGGTGGTTTCCTACTGAACGACGCGGCTTGTGAGGACCTGGGTGTGATGGAATTACCGAACCTGAAAACAACTCCGCACACGTTGAAGAAAGTCGCCTCGGCCAACAGGATACTCTGGTCATGCGGAGGTCATTCTCCACAATGACGCCTGAGATCCGCCTGTTTTCTTCCGGTGTCCGTCCAATACTGGCATATTGATTACCTGCTGTACACCTCCTAGTTTGAGTGTGCTTTAATCGCGAAGGTTCACAGTCGTGCATCAAAGTCTGTGTCAGTGCTGCGTGATTTATATTTTCCCTTTCGACTTAAGCGTATTAACTTGTTCTGTCTGAACTACCGTCATCGCCATGAAGATCTGATTAGACGGATACTAAGGCGAGAACGGGGGAGGGAGATGCAACAGTTCTTTCAGCTCAACGTGGATAACCCGACACGGGGTCACAGTTGGAAACTGTCTAAACCATTGAGGCCGTCGCAATGAGACTGGACCTTAACGTGGTGCGACGGTTTGCGTACCTCATTGACCCATTGAGCTATACTGCGTGGTGCCTCCGAGCATCTTGAGAGCTACTCCTACCAGGTTGGTCAATAGTGAGAGGTCAGACAAACTCAGTCTCCTGGTCCTCCAGGTTGGGGGTTTGAAATGGGATGGCGTCCATTTCTGTAAAACTAAATCACTGCCACCCCGCTGCCTTGCGGACAGGCTTTTGAGCCAAAGGCTTTGGATGAGGACCCTAATCGTTCTCCTGTCTAGGTCTGGGCGCCCTGGCAGTATCCCAGCCCACATACAACCATGACATTTTCTTCAAACATAAACTTCATCCTGCATCGGCCGTCGCGCAGATTATCAAGGGTCGCCTTATCTGCTGCATACAGCAGGGCGGATAAGCGAAAGCTTGCTACTGCTGGCGCCTCCCTTCTTTCTTTTCCACCTTTTTCTCTTACTCCCATCCCGGCCCCTATTACTAACCTTCCTTCTATAATTCCCAGCTTAATTGACAGCAACCGAAGTGCTACTGGAGTAGAACCATCTGCAGCCACCATCCCACAGCACCTATCGGACGCCTATCGGCAAAAGTTCCGTATAAGGCCACGCTGTCCTGTTTCCATGGCGACACTCAACGTCCGCACTTTAAGACAAACAGGTCAGCAGGCTGCACTCGCACGCACCTTGGACACACTGGGTGTTGATGTGTGTTGTGTGTCCGAAACTAGGATTAATGACCCTAACGGGGTTATTGAATTGACTGCACCCGGCTTATCCTCCCGTTATTGGTTGCACGCATCCGGAGACGCCGATGCGGCGCTCACGGGCCAAGCTGGTGTAGGTATCATTCTAAGCTCCAAGGCTGAGCCATTGTTGGTTGATTGGATTCCGGTGAACAGCCGTTTATGTGCAGCCCGTTTGACGACATCAGCTAAGGTGAATTCGCGAAGTAAAACAAAACGCTGTTTGTTTGTGATTTCTGCTTATGCTCCCACCGACTGCAGTTCTAATGCAGTCAAGGACACTTTCTATCACCAACTGAACACGCTGCTACGCAGTGCTACTAGTTCAGATATTATAGTACTTGCAGGGGATATGAACGCACAAGTAGGGCGTCTGAGCTCTTCAGAAGCTCAGCTGGGTGGTAATTATGGACTTAACTCCGAACGGACTGACAACGGCGAGCGTCTTCTGCAACTGTGTGCGGAGCACCAGTTGTTTCTTACTAGCACTGCTTTTGGACACAGTGGGCGTCGAAGTGCCACTTGGCGTCCTCCTGTAGCTGGCCAGCGATGGACCCAAATTGACCACATAGCCATAAGTTACAGGTGGCGCGGTTCCATTCTGGATTGCCGCTCGTACTGGAGTACCTGTGTCGACTCTGATCATGCCTTGTTGCGCTGTCGTTTCTCCATGAACTTTACCGGAAAGCGCACAAAGCGTCTCCCCCGATTGGCAACGGAGAAATTGTCCCAGCCCTCTATCAGGCAAGCCTATCAAGAAGCACTGCATAGCGAACTCTCGCTGTCTTGTCCTAATGACACTGAACTTCAGTGGAATAGAATCTCGGCCGCTATGCACGACGCAGGAGCATCTGTTTGTGGCACTATCAGTCTTCACCGCACTAGTCACTGGATATCCGAGAGGTCCGTGAACCTTTTGGAAGCTAGAAGGCATCTCCCTGCTGGTTCTGAACACAATGTGACCAGACGGGCTATTAGGCGTGAACTAAAGCGGAGCCTACGTGCTGACAAGGAAGCCTGGTGGACCAGTCGGGCTCAAGAAATGGCGGAGACAGGAGCAGTAGGCAATTACCGGAAGCTCTTCCAGCTAATCCGCACCACTGGTCCCAGGAAACCAGGCGTCAGTGAGACAATCAGGGACAGCGCGGGTGCGCTGATACACAATAAGGAGCGCCGTATGGCTCGTTGGGCTGAATACTTTGAAGATCAGTTCAGCTGGCCCCCTGCTCCCGGACCTCTTCCTACTCAGATGATGCAGGACGAGCCATGGACGGTTAGTTTAGAGCCTCCGTCGGAGGCCGAGGTCCGAAACGCGATCACAGCCCTTAATCGTTTCGTGCCGCTGGCCCGGATTCCCTCCCACCTGCACTTTTTAAGGATGGAGGTGAGGTCCTCTGCAAAGCACTGACCTTCCTATTCGAACGTATCTGGAACGAAGAGTGTGCCTGCTAATTGGAGCGAATCGATTATAGTGGCAATATACAAGAAGGGCAGTCGCACAGACTGTGCGAACCACAGGGGTATTAGCCTAACGCCAGTTGTGACAAAATTACTGGCCTCGATTCTCGTTCGTCGCCTCACTGCAGAACGGGAATCTCGGATTAAGGAAGAGCAGGCCGGTTTTCGCCCAGGACGTTGCTGTATAGACCATATATTCACTTTGCGGCAGGTGCTAGAGCAGCGCCACGCATACCGCAGACCGACAATAGCTGTGTTCCTCGATTTCAAGAGTGCGTTCGATTCAGTCGATCGATCGATTCTGTTCGAATTACTTGCGCGAAATGTGTTCCCAAGAAATATGTGAACAT